AGGCTCGGTCTTCCTTTCCAGTCGTGGGAAAGCCACTTGCCGTGATACAGGGCTGTAAAGGACCACTTCAGGATCCGAAAGAAAGTGTCCAAAGTCCCATTGTCACCGGCGAAAAAAGGTGCTCGAAGAAAGACCAGACCAGGAACAGACTTGCCTTGCTGCCGCCCCTGCGCAGCATACAGTGCCAGTTGAAGGTCTGCAGAAGCTTGGCCCAGACTTTGCCCAGGCCAGTGGTTGGCACGGCATCTCCGTGCAGTGCCAAAGGCAAGCAAGTTGTTCTGAAGTCACCTTTGTCTCCCAAGGTCCCATCCGCCATACACGGATGCTTGGTAAAGTGCTTCCAGAAAGCCTGCAAAGCTGGAACCCACCAGGAAGAAAAGAAGCTTTCCAGTACCCTGGATAGTGGTGGTAAAGTGCCGAAAAAACTTCATGCCGCAGCATGAAAGCTTGAGCACTTTCTCCAGTCTTGCAAGGCAGGACCTCTTGAAACGGCCTCGGCAGCTTGCGTTTGCCAGGCAGATACCCCATCAGGTCCCTGTGGCAGTTGTTCGAGTGGACCCCAGCACTGCCTCATCGCTCTCTGTCAAGCCAACTGCCAACATTTCCTTCTTCACCAGAGAAGCTATTCGCTGGACTTGCCGCGGCGACAAGTCCCCCTATGCCCAAGCTTCCAAAACAGAATCCGCAGTAGAAGACGTCGCCGGGGGCCGGGGTTTCCTCGCGAGCAACCTGTTGCAACCGCTGTTGACTACTGTCAGGGACCCTTCTCTTCTCGGACACTTTCCAAAACGCCGGCGACCTTCGATAAGAAGACCCTTTCTCCTGCGGAGCTCGATTTTAACTATGACAAACCAGTGCTCTGGGAGCCATAGTTCAGCGCGGGGCTCCTGAGACCCTCATCTTGACCAAGCTACACCCAGCAATGACAGTTCCTCGTGCGCCCGGTCCTGGTGCCATCAGAAAGGTGGATTGGAAGCCTCGGGCTTTGAAGCACATCGCTAACCGCAATGTCATCCTCCACACGGATTCGGCCCGCTCCCACAAAATGAAATTGCCCGGTGTTGTGCACGATGCGGTGGTGCACAAGAAGAAACGTGTCAAGAAGAACGGAAAGTGGGTGTGGTTGAAGCCGACCTTCGTTCGCATCACGAAGCACAAGCTGCCGGATGGCCGTAGAATTTCCTGTAAAGCGGGAACCCAAATTGTAGATCGCGCGTGGAAATTCATCAAAGCCAGACTCGAACCAATATGTAAAGGCATCCTCCTTGTTGCTTGCTGCACAGGTTCGCAGTGCACAGTGGGAGTACTGGAACCGCCAACGAGATCTGTGGTTGCGTACTGGACATGTTGTTGCTTCCTACATGGAAGGCATTGTGAAGAGGTGAGTACTGAGTAAAGATTTCTGGGCCTCTAACCTGTGATTTTGAGTAACGTATGCACTTCGTATGCACTGCACACCTTTTTGCCAGGGTCACACAGGAAAGCTTGGGGCTTCAGACTGCTCGAAGGAAACGAATATGCAGTGAGCCAGTGCTATGAGCGTGTGTGTGTGTGTGTCGGATGCGGCACCAGCACAGCTTGAATGAAGTTGTTGCTCGAGTGGCTCACAGACACGCATTGACATCAACAATGCAACATTGCAACAGACCTCAATTCAAACCTGAAGCCGTGAACCCTTGAGACTGTTGGGTGAGGGCTCGCAGACTGTTGATGCTTGTTGCCTGTCTAAGGACACCTGGCTGCACTGGTTGTCTCTGGGCACTTTACATGTACACGTATATGCATAGATATGTATGAGGGTGTATTTAGGTGTGTACATATATATATATATATATATACACAGTAATTTCTGTTTCTTGTTGGACTTCACTTTGGATTGGGCAAGAAGCTGCCTTATAGAAGGCCAAAAAGCGTAGGTACGTCGGGGTAGCATATATATATATATGTATATACATATATACAGAACTATATAGATATGTATGCTCACCCCCCACCCCCGTTGACAGACCTTGCCATTGTGACAGTGTACTCTCGTGCGGTGACTCGGTTGAGATATTGTATCTAAACACACCACACACGACCATAATCTGTAAAACAAAACCTTTACAGTATATGCACAGTATATTTTTCACATGCCATGTGTTGAGGGCGCATGGACCAGACGTGCGGCACATGAGTTAATATTTTTGTGGTAGTCTTGAAATTAGGATGAGTATTAGTATTGGTATTGGTATTAGTATCAGTGATAGTATTAGTATTTACTGTAAGTATATATGTTTATATGCATATATGTATATCAATATTAGTAAACATTTATCAATGTTAGTGCTCAGTGCTCATCTTCGTGTTAGCATTAGTGTTGGTGCCAGTGTCAATGTCAGTAATAGTACCAGTGCTAGAATTAGTATCAGTCTTCATGCTGGGCTTAATATCAGTTAATATTCGCAGAAGTGCTAGCTTTAGTATCAATATCAGAATTATAGTTATTATATGTTCAATTCTGATAGTTTCGTATATCAGCAGATTAGTATATCAATACATTAAAGTATTCGAGCAGCAATATATTTGTATACTTGTATATTCGTATAGCTTATTTTGGTACAACTGATGCATGAGGACACGAGTATATTGGTTTATTAGTATATTAGTATATCAACATACCAGTAAATTCGTGCATTCGTGTACAATATTCGTGTATTGTCTAATAACCTCTAAGTGTACCAGTATGTTGTCATATTGGTATACTAACCTGCCATGTCGGTATACTTGCATATTACTGTGGCCGTATATTAGTATATTAGCATATTAGTTCATATCAATATGAATACGGTTCTTGGTATTCGTAAGAAATGAATGTTTATACTAGTAGTCGTATGCCTTACTATACGTCATACGTCTTAATATTGGTATTATTACTGGCATTATCTTGGATTCTCAACAAGTTATCAATGTCAAGATTCGTTTTGGTGATAGCATTACTGTTAACACCATAAGAGTATACGCACTAGTATCCGTAGGAGTATCAGCACTCATGTAAATATTGGTGTTAGTATAGATAGCGTGATTGGTATTGGTACTAGAGCTAGCGCTCTTGCTAATGTTAATATGAGGATATGTATTTGCAGGAACATTTGTTTTAGCATTACTTTTGATTACATGAAAATCCCAACAGATGACGACATGAATGAGTTAATGTATTTGTACTTTAATATTGTGGTATGTATATCTATGTACATTGGTATATGCAGGCGTGTATTGGTATTGGTATTAAGATACACTTTTGCTAATATGAGTATAATTCTTGATCTGCGTAGGAGTATTAATGTCAATTAAATTCATCATCACTAGTATTTTGTATTATGCATGTCGTATTAGGCTCTACAGAAGTGTAAATATTAGTAAGACTGCTGGTATTAGCTTTGGCAGTCAACACATGATCAATGTCAGTATTACTATTAGGCAATAGTGTTCGTAGGAGTATCAAGAAAAAACTATATATATATATATGTATATACATATATATTTGTGTTTACTGATATTCGTCTAAACAGACCTTGCCTTTGCAAGTGAGTGGTAGTGCATGGTCTGTCATCGGATGGGTCACAATCAGCCCTCCAGAAAACCAATTCCAAAAGTTCCAAAATTTCCGACTTTGCCAAAGTTTCCGAAATTTCCAAAATTTCCAAAAGCCCCAGACCTAGTGGACAGGATTTGTGCAAAACATAAGGGCAAACTTTTTGGAAATGTAGGACATTTCGGAAATTTAGGAATTTTTGGAATTTTTGCAAGATTTCCAAAAATCCCCAGACCTAGTGGACAGGATTTGTCCAGAACATAAGGGCGCTGGAACTTCCTCGAAACTTTGCAAAGCGGAAACTTAGGGGCGAGAATTTGGGATAATTCTGAATTCGGGAAGGCTGAGTGTCACCCATCCGATGACAGGCCATGCGCTACGACTCACTTGTGTGTCAACGGAGGGGGGCGACCCTGTATATACACCCCTAAACCCTGAACACTATAGCACTTGGGCCCTACCGAAGCGAAGCAGGCACGTCATGCTTGGTCTTGATCTTGTTCTTGTTGTTGTTGTTGTTGTTGTTGTTGTTATTGTCTCGCCGCCTTGACCTAAACCTGAGCAGTGGGATGGCCGAGGGGGCCCTAGTGGCCCCAGTGACCTGCCAGGTTCCACCTTGTTGGCCGTTGGTGGGGACAGCGATCAGCCACCCCTGGGTCCAACACCCCAAAGCCCGAGGGGGTATGACTGCGGGGCGATGCGCTAATGCGCTCGCTGGGGGGATTGGCGTAAACGGAGGGCTGGTGTGCCCGGACCTCCCAGGTGGGATCCGAAAAGGGAGGCCGGTTTTGCTTCGCATAAAGTATTATTCTCTAGTGTTGTATAACAGAAGTGTCGCAAAGGTGAGAGTTGGCAGGTTGAGCATGCTGTTTCTTCGGTTTCCTGCTGTTCATGGCGTCATGCTTGGTCTTGATCTTGTTGTTGTAGTCTGCTGCCTTGACTTAAACCTGAGCAGTGGGCTGGCCGAGGGGGCCGTAATGACCTCCATAGGTTCCACCTTGTTGGCCGTTGGTGGGGGCAGTCATCCGCCGCCGGAGCTCTAAGCTTGGCCAGGTGGGGTTTGGCCACTCGTGGCAGCCACCGGCGGCCAACACCTCCGCCCGAGGGCTAGTGACCTGCCAGGTTCCACCTTGTTGGCGTTTGGTGGAGGCAGTGATCCGCCGCAGGTCTATGTCTATGCTTGGCCGTGGCGGGTTGGCCACTCGTGGCAGCCACGCCAACACCCCAGGGTATGACAGCGGGGAGATGCGCTAATGTGCCCGCTGGGGGGATTGGCGTAAACGGAGGGCTGGTGTGCCCGGACCTCCCCGGTGGGATCCGAAAAGGGAGGCCGGTTTTGCTTCGCATAAAGTATTATTTTATAGTGTTGAAAAACAGTTGTAAGCGCAACTAAACCGCCATGGAGCCCCATCTTTAAGATGCACCTATGTCCACAGTGGAAGCTCCAGATGTCATGGTCGACCCACCGCAACAGCGTGCTGGTGAAGATGTGGTCGAGGACAACATCGGCACGGATGGAAACGCGCACCCTACTCCAGTGAATTATGAGGTCCTTGTCCATACATGTCAAGGTCAGCTCAGCAACATGCTGATGGATCAAGCTCGAAGGCGATCTCAAGTCGCTGAGTTGATACGTGCCATGCAAGCTTGGAACCAGGAGCATGAACGGATCGCGCAGCTGTTGCACAGAATCCAAGAAATTATGGACCCGGAGTTTGCGCCAGGAATGCCGTTACACGGTTTCCGTGCACCTTAGAATCTTTAGCCGGGCAACGTAGGCTCGGCAACTGCTGCGCAAAGCAAATATGGGGCAGTAGCAATCGATGGGCAACTGCGCACAGCTTGTACTGAGAAGCGCTGCAGTGACTGTCCATAGCAGCACTTCAAAGGATGCTTGTGCGACCGACCCAGAATGAGGAGCCAGCTCGCGTCTGACAAGTCTTGTTTCGGTTAGGTGTCAACTGTCTGTTTGCACGTGTTGTTGCTGTGTGTTCGAAGATGCCTATTGAGCCCCACTATGGTTGTGAATGTTGTTCTACCGCAGGATGGACTGGAAGCCATGGACTGATCCTCATGGTCGCTCACACACCACGCACACTACGCTCACGCACCACACATGCCGACATCATGCACTCATCTTTATGGTCACTCGCGCAACACACACGGTCTAGCACTCTCACACACACACACCACACACACACACACACACCAACGCGACTAAACGCACTCTCCAGACTTCTTCTCTGTCAGAAGCCGATAGCTCACTTGCTCACACCCACGTATGCACTCACTCCTGCACTCGCTCACTCGCTTACTCACCCACTCACCTATTCCTTCACTCATCCAGTCTTATTCCCTTCTCAGCTTTTTACGAAAAGATAATTTTCACATAGGGGGTTATCCGGTCTTTTGCTGGCAGGAATAGAGAAGCTCCGCCTGCGATGCCCAGTGTAGGATCCCGCTTTGCTCACCAATGCCTTGGCCACAGAAATAAAGCGAGCCACAGGGATAAGACGGTCAGAACAAGGCTTACTGAGCATCGTTTGTGCTCGCATAGGTTGAATCCGAGGCGGTTGAGGGCCGGAAGTAGTTGAAACCGAAGAAACACTCAAACGCACCTAAATTGTTTTCAAATTTTGGCAGATCATGAAGAAACCTCTCCAGGTGTCTGCATGCTGAGTTGTTGAAGCAAAAGATTGGACAGGAGGCCCGCTCCAGGCATTCGGCTGTCTGGGACCCTGTGGATCAAACGATGCTGGTCTTTGGCGGCATCTTGGGTTCAAGTCGCATGCATCTGCCATTTAGATGAACGGATGCTGACTGTCTCGACTTGTCCTTTCTTTGTGTCGAGCCTCGTCGCTGCAATGCATAGTGAGACAACAGGCGCAAGACGGAGTAGTAAGACGGCAAATCATCGCTGAGCCGAGTAGTAGTGCGGACGCCGTACGTGCAACCACGAAAATTCACTTTAAGCCTTAAGAACAAACACCGTCAAACACCTGCTGATTAACATCCGGCCGAATCCGGACTACATCCTGGAGGGTCACGCCGGCGTACACTGTCGAGGGTGCTCCGCAAGACTTTAAGCATATCATGGTAATACTAAATTCGGGCGTACATGCACACAGATGCTGTTGTGTTTACAGGGGGCGAAAAGCTATATGTATACTGCATCGAACGCATCTCGGATCTCGCGCGATTTGCCCAAGCTGCACAACAAGGACTGGATTTGGGGGTTTAGCATCTCTCCAGCAGACATGTCGAGGAATGTACCATTACACAGAGGAGCTTGGGCCTGGGCGGTAACCGTCGCCACAGATCGCCCGAACGTTTGACAGTTCATGCTTTCAGTGGGTCAACCATGTTTTCGACAGTGGCTAATTAAGAGTTGTTCGGAACAGATCTGAGCAGGCTATCCTCCGAAGTCATGATGACCCCGGTCCTGTTGTGGGAGTTTTGGTCTTCTCTACAACATGTTTCAAGACCGGTGACGCTGAACAGGCTCCCGTATGCGTGCAGTGCGTTTGAAAACGCTGCAAGCAGATCTGCACAGATGTCTATCAGGGTGCATGCAGCAATGAAGGCTGCTAAGTGTGAATGAGGTAACCACTGAACTGTCCCACATTGGTCTGGCATTGCTCTGGTGGCTCAGGTTTGGAAGGCAAACCCACAAACCTCCTCAAGTACGATCTCCAGGCGAAGCGTGAAAAGACCACAAAAAACTACACAGAGGATATCGCTTCTGCCCGTACAGAGCATGCGACGGGCTCCCATGCAAATGCGCGAGTCGATGTTTGAAGAGAACTAGGATACAGAATCATGGGATGATTTGCGGATGTGGAGTGGATGGGCTGTTTCATGTTTTCGATCGGTCCACAAGCTAGACACGAGACCATAAGGCACATCGGCGGTCTGGAGTGTTGCAGCTTCGGGTCGTACATCAGTGCTGGTCGTACATCAGTGCTGGCCCATAGTGGAGTTTCGTACATGTCTACTATCAGTATCAACAATACAAGATCGCCCTTCAAGATGGACAAGTACAGTAACTAATTACATGACATGTGTCTGACCCGTGGATTGAAGCCTCCAAGAAAAAACGACCTCGCGATACAGAGCCGTCATTGCGCCAAGGTCCCTGTTTACTGCACCCAGAACTGTATCGAAACACGTCACCCTAGCACAGAGGTGTTCACTCGGTGGATCCCTTCTCGAAGCATCTTCGCAGGCAAACGCATGGACAAGCTTGGAACCCACTTGGATGGTCCCAGACGCAAGCAGAGACCGTTCTTTTCACACAGCCGTGTGGGATCCCGTCCGGCGGCAAATGTTGATTTTTGGAGGACAGAGAGGGCATCCAGGCCAGTTTCATTCTTTGGAAGGGTTGCCCCAGAGTGGGAAGTACCAGCCAGAAGAGGGGAATGTATTTTGCGCGGTTCCTGCTGCATTTTCCGGGAGATGCAGGCACAGCATTCCGGAGTTGTGAAACCTCATGCTACTTATGCTCCATAGATTCTGTCTGAAGTCGGCAATCGAGATGCACAAAGAACGAGTGTCGTGAACTAGTGCCCGCCCGTGGATCCAAAATGCCGATCAGAACCCTACATACTGACGGAATCCAGAAGGCTGGGAAAGTACTGAGGCCAACGGATATTATCGGCGAGCTACAAATTTACGACGCGGAGGCTGGCTTCATTTGTTGCAGGAGTTTTCGGCAGCGGCCTTTGATTGTTCATGACGGTTGTCACTGTGAGATTGTGTAAATCACTTCCGGATTCTTGGTGCGCAGGTGTGGGAGGGATGTTTGTTTGTGTGTGTGTGTGTGTGTTTGTGTGTTTGTGTGTGTGTGTGTGTGTTTGTGTGTGTGTGTGTGTGTGTTTGTGTGTGTGTGTGTGGGGGGGGTGTGTGTGGGGGTGTGGGTGTGGGGGTGTGGGTGTGGGGGGGTGGGTGTGGGTGTGTGGGTGTGTGTTTGTGTGTGAGTGTGGGTGTGTCTTTCTGTGTGTGTGTGTGGGTGTGTGTGTGTGTGTGTCTGTGTGTGTGTAGTCTATGTGTGTGCGTGCATGTGTTCAGTTGTGTTGTGTTGTCGGTTAGGTTTGTTGCATGATGTCATGGTCTTTATGTTGCACTGTATGTGTGTGTTCAGTGGAGCGAGGAGGAAGGAGGGAGTGACAGAGGGAGCCGGGGTGGGGCAATGCGGGGCGAGGCGACGTGAGGCGCGGTGAATTTGGCGTGGTGGAGGCTGACAGTAGAAGTGAAAACCCCACACTGTGATCTGGAGAATGATAAAAATGAGGCCCCGTGGTCGCTAGGGCCCCAGGAAACCTCAAACCATGTATTGGAACATTGGAACACCCTGTGTTGACTGATTGCCTCAAAATTGTACGTAAGTCAGCGGCACTTTCGAATGAGTGATTGAATTGTCCGCGACCACAACTGGCCACGTGTGTCACTGTACAACGAGTCAGTGTGACAAATCACCGTAGCGATAATTCATGACCATTCGCTTTGCGGCAGAGCTTGGTAAGCTCGGTTGTGGCAAAGCTCAGGTAGGGCTCCATGAAACGTCAAACCATGTCTTGGCGGAAATCTGCCTTGTCTGTGCCACAGGAAAATACTTTTACAGATCCAGCGCCGAGCCTGTTCGGGCTGTCGGCTTCTGGGCACGGTTTCAGCTGCGATTTCGCTCCCGGGTAACTGTAAAGGCTTTGAATTCGGAAATGAGGGTCGTTGTCCAGCACGGAGACAGAGTCAACGGTGGTTGAAGTTGTCGAGATGTGTTAAGAATTTCGGGCAGAGGGCCTGAGGGCGTTGGATTGGAGTATGAGCTAAGAGCTGAATGTGTTGGTTGGACCTGATCACAGCATGGGCTTTCAACATTTGATGGGAGCGGGACAGTGAAGTCGGGATCGTTACGCTAAGGGAGGCCTGCTCCGTTGATTCTGAATCAATCTGCTGGCGAGTCGAGTTTTGTGTATTTCGGTTTTGTTTCGTGACAAACTACGGGTTACCAAGGCCTGGCCAGTGATACTCTACATGAAACCGCGAGCCCTAAAGTTAAAGCGAGAACCTGTGCGGAGCAGAAAGAGCCTTGAAAGATCCTTCTCGAGTCAGGAGTCCCAACTTGGCCGCACAAGGCACACGGCCGTATGGGATCCAAAGTTCCGCATCATGTGGGTCTTCGGAGGAAGGAGCAGCGAGTCTGAAATGTCTAGCGTGTTCATGTTTAACGCGTGCTATCTTTTTGAGCTGCGCGGAGACCCATCACATTCCAAGTCACCGATTGCTCTTTGAGACTCATGCCTCTGCAGCGGGGGGTGCGTGTTTCCACTCCCTATCCCATTGAAGAGCAAGCGACGATTGAAATTGCCGTCTGCCCGATTGAACTCCAGTCCTAAACATTCAAACTTGCTGTGACACGCTGTGCCGTTGCAGCCATGATGTGGAAACTGTACTGTCGTATGCAAGCTTCTAGCCTTCGCATGCAGCCATGCTCAACATTGAAAATCAAGCACAATCGAGGTAAGTGCACTTAAACATGGCCAGGCCGCCTCGGTGCCGGCTTGGACAAAGCAAAGCGAAACCAAATGTCAGCTCGAGACATGTAAGCGCCAGATTTTACTATAGCTGGAACTACCACCAGTAGTTTCTGTAGATAGGATGTCGCCCATTCCTATTGCAGCAATTGTTGAAGCCATGTACGAGCCACGTTGGAACATCTGCGAAATCAGGCAAGCAACGCCAAGACGTGTTCACATCTGTGTTCGGCTGGAATCGATGCCGATAGTACCTTAAAAAGGTTTCGTTTCGGCTTACGTCATGTTGTCCTAGTGCCCTCCCGCCTCTCCACGACTTGGCGGATGGTTTTCCTTTGGTGTCCGGAGTTGGTTGGACGTCGTGTTCTGGCAGGAATCTCCGAACAACGATTTGTGTAGTTTTTGAATTGCTTCATCTCCGGTGCTGGGACAAATTCTTGGTCGTGCTACTGCTTCCAGTCGCGCTGATTTGGAACATCGATGCCGCAAAAACCGGTCAACACATCACCACTCGGGTCACGTACCGTCTGATCAGTTTGTTTCTGGTTGTTGTTCTTTGACGTTTAATCTTTGTGGTAGTTCGGCTTTGGTCAATTTTGTTTGTGTGCCATGACCTGAGGTAATGATTACCTTGACGATCTCCTTATGTATGAGATTGAGGCGTGACTGCGCAAAGCAAAATCAGCTTGGGGTCGATCGGCAATGATCGGCATGGAATTCCTAACATACACACCCTGGGGCTGGTGCCACGGAAGATAACTGATATGGTTGACTCGCAGTTTTGCCTTTTGCAGTCGGATTGCGGTGCTTCAGAGAAAGCCGACTCGTTGTGCCCTCGTGCAGATGAGTCGCCATGTCGTCGGGTCGTGTTTTCTTCGGGGTGCGCGCTTTGAGGCCCGATGTCAAGAATCTCTCGTACAAGTTCAGGTATCGGGCTGAGGGCATGTATATAAAGTTTACACGCGGGGATTTGTTCTTGGGGTTAACACATCTCAAAGCTGCTTTTGAGGCTATTGTCCTATGACAGTTCCGAACGCTGTTGGATTCAATATGTTGTAGCTCCATTCGGAGATACTAGGATCATCGCCTCCATCGGGGACATCAAGGAAGCCGGACCTTTCATTCAAGGCTTTTACATTTGCTCTGAGAATCTTTGAAGCAACCACTCCTCCCACGCTCGAACATCCCCAAGCTTTCGCGCTGTCGCGAAGGAACATGACTGAAGTTGCAGTGATTCCGCCAGGCAAATTCTTGGACCAAAGTAGACGGTGATGGAGACCTGCCACCTGCTTCAGCCGGCCTTTTGTCCAGGTTTAGCCCAACAAAAACGGCGGGGAAAGTTATCGTTGGGCTTTGTAGGCATTGTGTGCGGCCACCTTCAGTCTGGGCCCAGTTTCCGACGACAAGCCCATGCGCTAAGCTATATAAGCTTTCTCACTGGGAAACTCGATACTCAAGCAGCAGCGCTGCAGCAGAAGCACGTGATTTGCTGATGGGTTGCACGACTAGAAGTCTGTAGGTGCCGGAACAGCTTGAAATAGCCTGACGCCAAATTTGTTCATAGTCATTTCAGTATTTGTTGAGTCATGCCTCCATGAGCTTCGCTTCTGAGCTTCATTGTTGTCACACCGCATTCCGTCAAACGTCCTTGTTGGGATTCTCAAGAGCTCGGCTTGGTCCTGACGTTTGAAGAGTTTCAGAAACGGATAGAAAATCCCTCCGCCGAATCTGAGAGAGCCAAGACCTTAATCTTTACATGAGCAGCGTTTTTTTTAGCTATGTTGGAGTTTATATAAACCAGAATATCCGACATGATGCAACATCGTGCGCGTAGCCATTCTCCTTGCGGCGCGTAGATGCGCGTAGGCCTTGCGTAGGCCGACCTGTTGCGCAGGCTGCGTAGGCTATGTTTTGAAATGTGCTAAGATAGGAGCAAGAGGTTTGTTTGTGCCGTGTTTGAGTCTTTCTCCTGTTGAGCACACTGCAGTTAGACTGCATCCCAGGGCACGTGGGCCCATGCAACACAATAGAGTTCCAGTTTCCATAAGTAGTTTTACTACAGGCCTCGAGGAGGTCCAAAATCGGATGTAGTGGATTGCACTGGGCGTAGGCGCGGCGTAGTCCTTGCGTAGGCTGCGCGTAGCCTTAGGAGTCGCTTTCTTAATCATTTATGTTGACCTCCTTGCTTGGATTTCCGGGTCTAATTAGACTTGCGGCTGCTGGATTGAGGTCTTTGCGGGGCGTTTCTTCGATTTTTCACGCAGCCGGCTAAAGCTACACGAAAGCAGAACATATGTAAAGGCTTCGACGCTTTAGAAGACAAGTCCTCCTAGGCCTCCGTAGCGCGTAGGCTTGCGTAGGCCATCATAGCTCGAGATATCTCTGCGTAGGTAGCTTTCCGCATGGTGGGCCTGGATAGCGCGTAGAGTAGCGTAGCCCAGCGTAGGCTCTATATGGATAAGAACCGCCCATACAATGAAAGAAAACACAGCTCACATGTGTAAACATTTCAATGTCATGACATGCTCTGAAATAGTTCCTGCAGCTGTCAGATCATATCGCAGCATGGGCATCCACAGAGCGATCCATGTATGTGCTGTCAGGCCGATGGAATGGGATCTGGGGAGGGCTCTTTGTAGGCGTTGCCTGGGACATCCAGTTCGGGGTCAGCAGAATTCGGTTATGCACCTCTTCAGGACGAAGTCCTTGAAATCTAATGACCATTACGCGGGTCATGGCCCAAATTCTTGGGTGAAGCTCTGGCGAAAGCAATTGCAAACCTACAGAGCCTCAGGAAGACCTGTGTGTGTCACCTCTACTCATGCATGACTACCGTCTTACGTATCTCTTTGTCCTTCATTGCTGCAGCCGCGTACTACGCCGTTTCCTTACCGACTTGATTTCTTTGACAGGAGCAGTTGCGGAGGCGTTGATGGGAAACGTATTATAGCAGTGCGCAGGGTCATGCCATCGAGATGTAGCATGTGCAGGAGCCCCGCCACATAGACAGTAGACAGTTTTCAGACTTCGGGTTTCTCGACGTTTGACAAGGGAGCACCTCGGTTCAAGGGTGTACTCTATTTAACTCATCTCGTTGGTTGCAGGCTTCCTTGGCGAGATGTCGTATGGAGGCGGCATTTCGTCGCCGGAGTGCTATTTGTATCCTGGGTGTTCGTACGGGATGCTGCTGCGCTACGACACGCAGGCAGGTTCTGGAGCTTTCAGGTTCGCAGCTTTCGTATTGCGTGATTGCATCGCCACATAATTAAAGGGCTCAGGATGGTTCAGGCAAAGTGCCCCTGCGGTTTCATTAACATGTTATGTGAATTAAGGTAAAGCACTTAAATATCCCTTTAAAAGTTATCTAAGTACTAAAATTTTGTCCGACAGCCGAACAATGGTGTTTTGGCCAGGGCAGAAACATTGGAAATGGCATGGGTATTTTTTCGAAAGCCAGGCTCGACACGAAACGAGATTGTAATTTGTGCACGTGTGAAGTACCATGTTGTGTGATGGACCGCGGCACTAGTGCTCTGAAGGGAAAAGCCAGCTTTGTTGAGCAATGGTACAATCCCTTTAATACTTGAACGGGTATTTGGATCAGTGCGTGTGCGCTGTCGTTATCACCAACTACAGGTTATCAGTCGTATGGCCTACGGCCTGGTTACAGTACAATCAGTGCATGAGCGAGTCGCCAGAACTAATTCCCGAAATGGATGGAAGTGCACAGACCCCAGTCCAGCTCCCTGTCACAGGTAGCCACACCGGGGCCAGGGGCAGCTTAGTTTTCCCCGCCCCAGCCTCAATTCAGCAGTTCAATGTGTTTGCTCCGCAGTACAACATGGAGTTGCATGTGAACCAAGTGAGGCTAGAGGTGAACGAACTAGAAGCTTGTGCCGAACGTACACACAGGCAGCACATTGGTGACCTATGAAGAAGCAGCCGCCGCAGGACTAGCGACCGTTGAAGAAAGGGCTGGGCGCAACCACTTAGAAACCGTGTCGGAGCTTCAAGCATCTTTGGCCAACAGCGAGTTCAAGGCAGCCACAAGTGAAAAGACGTTAGCCGCTGAGATGTCCGTCGCTCAGGCGCGTTCTGTAGATGAAGACAAAGCACTACGAGACGAGATGGCGGAACTGCAGCAAAGGCGCATAACTGACGCACTAGATCACCAACTCGAGGAATGTCGGTACGCGCAGAACCTCCAAGAGCAGGGTAACCAACATGTACAGAATGCACACGAAGTCGTGTTGGAGCAACTTCAAGCGCACCTTCAAATCTACAAAGCGAGACAATTGGAAGAGTACGCAGCAACCGTGTGTGAACTTAGGGATCAGAATGATGACCTTCAGGATCGTTTTGATTCTGCCGAAAGGGCTTTACAGAAGGCCTTGGAGCAGGTTAATCCAGCTACCCCACAGGGTGAGCCAACGCCAGCACCAAGCACGCCTGTAGGTTTACGATTCCGAAAGCTCCCCAAACACCTTTGTTCACGATGCCTAGTGTGCTCCCCAGGAACCTGTTCGACTCAATGAATCCAGGAAGGTAAGCCTAAGGTCAAAGGGGCCGAAACAATCAATCTCCCAGAATTCCCGAATCCCGAATCGTACCGGTCTTGGAAGACAGCAACAAGAGAGGCGGTTAGAGCAGCATCTGTTTCGGAAAAGTGTTTAGATGGATCTTGGAGGCATGCGACAAAGATGCGAACCACGACAGTTCGTGTGACCCAGGGAAGTTTTTCACTCTCGACACCAAACTCCTCGCCTCTGACTAATGTCGCACGAAGTGAGCTGTCACGTGAAATCTTGATCTTCAAGGAAACGGAAGCATCCAAGTCCCGGACCGAAAGTGGAAGACAGGTTCTTTGTCTCTGCGACCAGTACTTCAAGACGAATGAAGAGGCAGGATCCCTGTATTCGGTTGAGGATTGGTTGAAGGTAAGGCTTCCCAATGACGACCTTTCAACATTCATCAACAACTGGGAAAACGTCATGTATGGAATCAGTCACACTCCAAATGAAACGACGTTGCGTGACATCTTTCTTAGGTAACTGCGACAGTCTAAGCGTCTGAAATATGACCTTGAGATTTACGATCGTGCTCGTGAAGGTTCCGAACAGCACACCTACAAGTTCCTCGTGGAATCCCGGAAGGATGTGCTGACCGCGCAACGCAAGCGAAAGAACAGGGACCACATTGCGCATTCCCCTGGTGACAAGTACGGAGCCCCAGCATTGAAATCGCTGAGGTGGCCGCGGTAGGTCGCTGAGTCCAAGGCCCAGATCCCCCGGAAGGGCAAGTCCCCGTCTCCGGGTAAATCTAGGTCTCCTAGCCCCGAAGAAGTTTGTTATGATTTCCTCCAGGGACCTTGTAAACATGACAACAATTGTCCATTTCTTCACAAGAAGAGGTCTCTGTCCCCCAAAGGCGACAAGCCCAAGAAGAAGATCAACGCAACCTGTAAGTTCTGGAAGGAAGGGAACTGTTCGAGAGTTGACAAGTGTCGGTTTCAGCATAAAGACATTCAGCTCCAGCCCCGAAGTCGGAGGCCGTCCCAGCGGTTTCCAAGGGAAAATTCCCCCGATCAACATTGTGAGCGACTCAGCAGACCAGCTTGTGCAGGACTTGTGCCAGGGCTTCAGTTCTTAGCCGACACTGGTAGTTAAGAAGACCTCACTAGCAAGTCTGATTGGAGAGCTTACTTCCCATCGGACCTTCCACAAGGCCTGTTCTCTGATCACAGCGAATGGTCCAGTCAAAGTCGGTCAAGCTGGAAGTGCCAATGATCAATAGCACTCTCGAGCGTTCTGTCCTGGAGTCGACTCCCCCGGCTTGCTCAGTAGGACGCCGTTGCATGGATGAGGGTTTCGAAGTCCACTGGTATGCTGGGAAGACCCCCTACTTCGTAACAGCCGAAGGCAAAAAGCTGTACTGGGCGACGGATCAATCGCTACACCAGCAAAGGACGAGAAAACGGCGCATACGCCGTTCGTTCAGTGAACATCTGAGCAAGGCACGCCGGAGCTGCAGAGAGTGAGCCAGAGGGGAGTCTTAAGGAGACAGGTTTCATGACAAAGGCCGGTTGGGTTTCGCGCACTCCCTTTCCACAAATGATTCTGGGGCATTTCCCAAAGACCTTTAGGACTCCGGCAACGAGGTACCAAAGGCACGTCATCCGAACCACATGGGTCTACAACAACAAATGGCCAGAGATCGAAAAGGAAGTGGACATTAGGATCCAATCTTGTCCATAACGATCTTTAAAAGGCTAGCGCCGCATGCCTGAAAGCGAGGGGGGAGCTCCACTACGTTTTCGAAGAAGTTTGAAGACCACGTGACCACAGATCACAATGTGACAAAGGGTTTGCGTGACTTTGGGATAAAGGGTGAGAAGGTTGTGCTTGTTGTGAAAGATGTGTTCACGAACTTTCGTTATGTGTACCCTTCGGGAACTAAGGCGAGGGAGGAGGTGCATGATAGCCTTTTGCACTACTTCAAGGTTGACGACGAGGTAGGAATCATATACTCCGATAACGCCCCCGAACTGGAGAATGCCACCTCCAAGTACAAGGTTCGGCGCAATACATCACGTCCATATGCGGACGAAAGCAAGGCCGTTGTGGAACGCGAGATCAGGACTGTGCTCGAAGGTACTCGTTCAAACTTGTGCCAGGCAGGGTTACCTGACAAGATGTGGCCTTTGGCGGCGCAACGCCACGCTATATGGCCTTGAACCTCAGCAAGCGGATGGACCGCGCTAAGATTCCTTCGGAAGAGAGGTTTGGCGACAGCTTTAGTGATTTGTCCATTCTGTTCGGGGCCAAAGTCTTGTTTTGGAATAACCCCGACGAGAATGTTACACATGCTTCAAAGTTCGCCCCAAAGGGTGAAGACGGTATCTTTCTGGGGTACCACATCCAACCTGGCTGCGTTTGGAGACAGGAGTACATTCTAGCTCCCTTAAACGGTAGCCGTGAAGCAATCGAAAATGATGATCTCAGGAGCCTTCGGGTCAAGCGCATGGAACTTCCGATTGGGTATTTAGTTTTTCCTCTTGGTGGCCCACAACATGACGATGAGGACATTTCTGGTCGTGATCCCATTGCTCCCTGGGACCCGAGGGCATAGACTTGGAAGAAGAGCTCGCAAAGCTCAGGCGGAGAGCTTCTGAACCTGTGTATGTCCCGGACGAGGCCAGGTGGTACGTCCAGCCCCTCCGACGGAGGCAGCCGTGGGTCACCCACTGATAAACCACCTTCTGTCAGGCTGAAATTGACAGAACACCAGCAGCGAAAGCCGCCGAGGACAAGGAATGGCAGAAGCTTGTTGACAAGTCTTGTTGGTTGCATTCTAAGGTTCGGGAATTCCGGGATGTGTCTGCTCAGGCAATTCGTAAGGGCATTAAGACTCACTTCGGAAGGATCTTTGAGATTTGCAGCATCAAGGGTTATGAGCTTCCGGAAGGACATCCTGACAGGAAGTGGCTTCAGTCCTTCAGGTTGATCAACCACGATCTGTGCCCAGATGTTGCCCACGGGGGCAAAGATTCCGACAGTCACTCGGTTGCGAAACCTACAATTGCAGCCCGCCAGTCATGGCAGGCCATCGCTGGAGTGTGTAGCCCAGGATCTTCTCAAGGCTAAGGATTTCAGCTACCAAGGCTTCCTTTCAGTCGCGGCTGACCACAACTCAGGCTCCTACTACCACAATTGGGGTTTCTTTTCCTTCAGTGGTATGCAAGGGATTCCCAACATCACCAAGCGTTTTCCCGCAGCAAACATGCACGTCGAGATTTCACCTGGACTTCTATGTTGCTGTGAATCGAGATGCTAAGTCACTTTTGCATGCTGATTCCAGGAACCTTAAGGCCTTAAGGGAAGTGGTCAGTTTTGGGGATTTCAAGAGAGGTTTGTTGTGGATTGAACTCAGACCAAGGCCAATGGCAAAGTCGTTACCGGCGGATCTCACAACACTAAGGATTCTCCTCTGTATTTTGTCCCTGACTTACACCATTGTGTGTTGCCCTGGGAAGGAATAGCTTTGGTCTGATCGCGTTCACCTCCTCGCAAGTAGGTAGTATGAACAATGAGATAAGAGAACAACTTGAACAACTTAAGTTTTCAGGCTGCCCAAACCAGCTGCAGTCGCTGCTCCAGCCCGGCATCTGCCGAGGCCAACTGCTTGCACCGTTCAGGGGGTGTCTGA